AATGCCCTGCAAGCAAAGCCATTGTGCTGGTGAGAATGGAGTGCTTGAGACCACAGTTCAAATCCCACACTGTCACAAAGATCATTCTAAGAACCTGGGATAGTCATTTTCATCCTCAGCTTAATATACCATGCAGAGTTGCTGTGAGAAGAAAATGGTAGGAACAAGAAAATTACATAGGCTGCATCTACACAGTAGAAATAAAGCAGGTTGACACCACTTTAACTTCCATGGCTCAATGCTATGGAATTCTGAGATCTGTAGTTTGGTGGGTCTCTCTGACAGGGAAGGCTAACTATCTCACAAAGCTACAAATCCCAGAATCCCACAGCACTGAACCACAGCAATTACGTGGTGTCAAACTGTTTTATTTCTACAGCGTGGCTAGGCACTTTCACCTCTTTATGACAGGAAGGGGCATGATATCAAACTGATATCTACTTTAGGGGATTTCCCCACTAGAATCTCAAAATCCAACATCTCAACCCACATATAAAATAGCTGAAGAGATGCCACACATCTAGAATTAAGGAACAGGGCACATCTCAATCCAGCAAAGCTCAAGCATCCCTTCTGTGCATGGATGGTGCCCTCTGAATACATAAGAATCCTCACCACAGCTCAGAAAAGTTACACTTTAGCCAATGACTTCCAGTATCCCTCGCTCAGCATGGCCAGTGGCTGTGATCTGAGAGCCAGAGTCCAAAAAAGGAACTTTTCTGGCCCACCTTCACCCTGAACACTGGAAACAGTGGAAATGATGCCTTAGGTAGGAAAAGCAGGGAGGAGAGAAATGACATGTACATATATCATTTTACAAAAAGTTAGAGAGCTCTGTTCTTCGGCTCAGCCTCAAACATTTGTTTTAAAGGACTGAGTGCCCTGTAAGAACACCCCATTCCCAAATGAGGAATTGATCCAACAGGAACAGGCTTACCAACCGGATCCTTTATGAAGGGTTATGCAAGAACTAGAGAAATAAAAAAGCACAACAAGGACCTCTGTAGCCGGAATTGTATTGTCGGAAACCAAACACTGATCTTTTTGTCTTCTGTTAACCGAGTGAACCGGGTGGGTCATACCAATTGCTACCTGAGGCAACTGGGCTTTTTATGACCACTGCAGAGAAATACTTGTTATTTGGCATGTCCACAAACCTTTCGAACCCCAATGAGGGTGGTTGGGTGCAAGGAGGCTGGCCAAGTGCATCCTGTTTAATCAAGAGCTCAGATGAGAACTCTTTGAAAACAGAAGTCAGAGTTTCCAGGACCAGGATGAGATTAGGTGACATTTAGCAGCTGGGGGAAAGGAGGAATGGAATTCATCTAAAGGTTTGCTGAGATGGACTAGACAAACCAAAGATCTGTCCAGGTGGATATTATGTCTCACAAGCTTTCGGGGGGTGTGTGTGTGAACCATAACACACTTGTTTGAAAACAGTTACTCAAGGAGAAGAGGTCACCTGACATAAAGCACCTTTTCATTTGGGTTTTAAAGAAATAGAAGTCTCAACAACACTCCAGTTGCAACATGGCTGCTTGAAATCTGGGAAATGCTGACAAAAAGCCAAGGAGGGCCCTTCAAGTACATCTTGCCTTCTTCTCGGGAGGGGATTTTATTATCATAGGGGTTAATGTGCATGTACATTGCACCTCATCCATCCTCTCAGTTGCAGCCTGGAGGCAACAGGGATGTGCAGGAGTACAGTTAGTCTACAGGACCTGCTTTGTGATCACTTACAGGTGCAAATAGAGGCCTTCAAATAATGAGAACTTGGGTTGTCAGTTCTTACTGCCTAGCCCTGCATCTCCAGTTCTTGTGGGTCATCTTCAAGCAGGAAACAAAGCTGCAAATTCTTCAGTTTTGGAGGGCTCGGATCCAAGCAAGAGAAAAGGGCTCAGTGCAACTCTCCATCTCAGCAGCTTCCTACAGTTTGCAAGGTTTAATTGATTTCTTGCTGCAACTTGCAAGACTCTCAAGGAGGTCTTTGTATTTACTTAGTTTCTGCTAACTAAACAGGCTAAACATACCCAGTTCCCTAAGCTGCTCCTCAAAGGTGATGGCTTCCAGACCTTGAACTATTCTGGTTGCCTTCCTCTGGACATTATCCAGTTTCCCAACATTCTTTTTGAACTGTGGTGCCCAGAACTGGAAGTAGTATTCCAGGTGAGGTCTGAATAGAGTGTCACTATTACTTCCCCCGATCTCGACATTACACTCCTATTGATGCAGCCTAGGATCACACTAGCTTTTTTAGCTGCCATATCATACTACTGGTTCATGTTTAACTTGTGGTCTACCTGGACTCCTAGATTGCTTTTGCATGTACTGTTATCAAGCCAGGTGTCATGCATCCTATATGTGTTTATTTCATTTTTTTCTGCCTAAGTGTAGTGCCTTTCTTAGTACATAATGTATAATGCTTAACGGCAGCAACAGGGACTGTTTTAGGCAGCCTCACAGCCTGGCACAATCCTGAAATGACTATGCTAAGAGGGCCTGATTTAGGTCAGGATGGTGTTTATCACTGAATTCAGTGCCAAGGGAACTATTTCAAATCCCTGATTTAAATTTAAATTTTTCTCCTGCACATTGAAATCCAGAATTTGAGAAGTGGAATCATTGAGATCAAGTGGTTGGAAGGCCTACAGGAAGAAGTATGGATCATTCACTGTATTCTCAGTGGTAGGAAGGAGAGATGGGACATGTCTAATCCCTGGATCCATAAGAAAGCCTGTTCATGTATGACTTCTAACATATAATTATGTTCTACCTCAGAAGTCCAACCAGAGTTTGGAAAAATTATGTGGTTGGTTTTTGTTTTTTTAAATCTGGGGGATTCTGGGGACTGTATTCCAAAATAATATTTTTCCAACCTTGGTTTTCCCCATGGTTCTGTCTCACATACAATCAGTTTTCAAAGCTGTAATGACTCCAGCCTGGTCTTTTCAGGAAGCAAAATGGAGATGGGCATGAACCCATAGCATATTACACTGCACGGGACTAGCCATCCTTCAGAATGGTGCTTTGCATTAAACAAAGTTTGTTGTAAGCAGAGATCTAGCTTAACAAGAAATGGGCTGAATTAAAAGCTTTTTGGATTGGAGGCCACCAATGAAGACCAGATGCTGTAGGCTATATTTCAGAGGAAGGAACTGGCAAAACCACCTCTGAGTATTCCTTACCCAAGAAAATAATTCATGGGGTCAACAGGTAACTTGAAGGCACATACACACACATCAGTATCAAATTCCAGAAGGCCAGCTGTGTTAAGTCTTTTGCAGCAAAACATAACCGTGTTTTATGGCACTTTAAAGGCTAACATTATTTTATGACTTAAACTCTGGCAGACTAGAGTCCATTACAAGAATTCTCAGTTGGCCTTTTTTTACATTATTCTTGTTTTCTACTGAACACATATACAGGACAAATATAGAGCAAACAGGAAAAAGTGTTGAGTGGAACCAATGGCTCCATTCTCTCACATAATTTGAGACTTCCTAGTACAATGCATATCAAGGAACAGCACGCACACATCCGGACAGTCAGCAATGTCCATTGTTCCAATTTAGAATTCAGTCACATCCTTTTGTCACATGCATAGGCCAGGCTTTGGTTTTAAGCATGGCATAGTGATTGAGTATTGGACTATGACTCTGGAGACCAGAGTTCATATCCTTGCTCACAAATCTGCCGTGACCTTAGGTAAGTCATATTGAGATTCTATGATTCTGTATGCTCTCAGCCTCAAAGAACCTCATGAAATGGTCATTTTAGGGCCACCCAAAGTCAGAAATGATTAGAGGGCACACATCAACAATTAGGATTCCCATTAAAGCAGATCATTTTTAAAAGGACAAATGAAATAGATAAAATCTCATTATTGTTTGTTTTATTGTTTTATTTGTATTTAATCTTTTCATCTAAACTGGGACTCAAGGGAAGACCCTCCCATTCCAATCCTACTCCATGCCTGTCACATTTTAAAACTGACCTCTGCTGATACTGATTGTCAAGGGCAATTTAGGCATCAAAATAAAACATGCTGATAAACTGGGTCTTGCCATTAGGATCTCAGCCATTTCAGAATGTGTTACCGTATTTTCCGGCGTATAAGACAACCCCCCATTTTTCCAGTCAAAACATAGAGTTTTAGCACCTCTATCCTCCTTATCCTTATACCCGGCGTATAAGACGACCCCCCCCCACTTTAACCATAGATTTTGCAGGTTAAAAAGTAGTCTTATATGCAGGAAAATAAGGTATATCCATTTAGTTTGGTGCAGCTGAGGATATCCTTTATTATTTATTAGGTTCCCTATTATTAGGCTCATCCACTTCCCTATTTTCTTCATTATTAACTTCCACTCAGAGTTGCAGGGGTCAGGAAGGCTACTGCATTATAGAAAACACACACCTACTGTTCCTAAAATAGAGACACACTCCTGCTATTCCAAATCCCAGCCCTGCTCCAAGAAAAACCTTAAAAAGTGCTAAACAAAGCAAACTCTACCAAATACTTCCACATATACTTCCAGTGGTGTCCAGGAACTTCCCAAGCATTTTAAAACTCAACAGGTTAAGGGGCCAAAAATTGGCTTTAAAGCAACTGAAACCTAAACATTCATTTCTATCCCTGTGCTGCAATCACAGAAGCATAGGGTTTCTCCCATCCATCTCTCACACAGGATAAAGACAGAATGTCCAGTGCAATTGCAACACATATATCCATACTTTTTCAACCTATACTGTATTTGGTGATTTCCAAAAGGTATCAAATTGGGGAGAAAGTAGTGACTACACAAATTTCAGTGCCACCCAAGAAAAATAATTTATGGCAGCAATCTTAAATATGCTTATTGTGATGTAACTCGCCCTGCATTTCACAAACAAATGTCAAAGATTAGCAGGCAGTCTAAACTACTGTAAACACAGGATGCTTGGATTGCAGCCTGGTCAGTGCTAGTTATCAGCAATAATTTGGTGCCCCCTAGTGGAAAGCCTGCATAGTGTAGTGGTTCAAGCATTGGACTATGACTCTGGAGACCAGGGTTCAAATCCCTGCTCAGCCATGGAAAGGTGCTACCCATAAAGATTCATAATATATAATGCTTCTTAAGCTAAACTTAGGATCCAGTCCTGGACGGGGTCACACTTCCCCTAAAGGACAAAGTACGCA